GTACCCTCCCGCCCCCCTAATGGAAGCGCAACGGACGCTAGCCGTGATGAGCCGAATGTAGTGGTCTGCTTGTTGTAGGCAAGACTGTGAGTATTTCAACGTGTTTAGACTAAGTCGGATGTAAGAAGTCTGTCCAAAAATATACCTTGTGCGGACGTCGTCTGTTTGGTTCTCGTCTTCTTAGAGAAACAAGGACGTTGAGGAAGTCTCAGAGAAAGGGTGTTCTCTCCCCTGTGTACAATACATCATTTGCGGTACTTCTTCTCCTTCCTGTGTACAACTAATGCTTCTTGCTGTGCGCGCTGTGGAGAGGACTAAGCATGGCGTGTGCGGTCTGGTGCTCTGTCTCGCGCCGTGTACAAGTGTGATGCGTCGCCGCTGGGCAGCGTCAGCGATGTTTTCGTTTGAGCGTTGCTGTCCCGGGCTGTGTACATACTACATCTTCTCTGTACTCTTCTCCCCTGTGTACAACTACATCGTTCATGCTGTACGCTGTGGCGCCCTCTCTCTCGCTGTGTACAACTGGGAGGGACATGCGTTCTCTGTCGACTTTTGTGCGGGACTAAAACGGCTGATTGTTAGTCCCACTGGAAGACTTCTCCTGCTTTCGGTAGGAGATATAGACTAAGAGTAGAGATGAGTTCGATGCAGTAGGTGGGCGTGGTTGACTCGTTTTGAGGAGAGCAGAAGCGTTGAGCTAGACTGACGAGCGGGTGGGGGGGGCGTGTGGGCAGGGGTAGGGGGGGCAGTACGATGACCAAAGCGAGAGGAGATCATGTGGGAGGTAATATGGACTTATGAACTCATGGGAGTGTGAGGTGGGCTTGACGTATGGCTCGGTCAAACAGAAGATACGGTGGGCAGGAGGAACCGAATAGCGTAGAGAGAAGCCGTTCCCTCTTAGGCACAAGCGGCGTCACCTTGACTCCCACAAATTATTGATGGCGGTCGCTAGTAGGACAAGCGAGGGAGCTTAAGTATTATAGTGTGAACGTAGTGATGGGTCCATAACTGGTCGGGGTCCGGGAGGAGAGAGCGAAGGATGAGTGGAGTGAGGGGGAGCGGGGCACGGTCGGTGTGGACAGGGGGGGGACTTAGGAAGAATGATAATGGCGAGTGAACGTGTGGTCGATTACATGTTGTTCGGTGTCAGATATTTAGTGTGCAACGTAGACAAAAATGGCTACATACTCATTCCTAACTGTCTTAGTCAGGAGCTTTTTCTCGAAGATTGAGTAGAGATGTCGGGAGGGGGCTGCGTTTGTCGGATCGGTCAGAGGGCCAGCAAGAAACCGTTCGTCGGACGCGTAAGAAGTTTTATGCAAGTGGATGTGTGCATTTAGTAGCAGGTAAATTGCTCTCTCTCACGAGGATGAGTTTCGTCTGAAGTTTTGGTGTCAGTACTTTATGGGTTGGTCCGTAAGGATAGACAACACATCGTTCGGGTCATCTTGTTGGTAGTTTAGGATGTCGACTAGGTATAGGTCCTCAATCTTGCGACCGTACCTAAGTGGGTCTGAAGTTGCATAGGATGATGAGTAGTTGTTAAGTTTGATTTCATTTGTGGTTATGATAACGTCTATGAGGTCGATTGTTCATAACTATAAAGGGTCATAATGAATATATCACGTAAAAAAATAAGAAACAATAGGAATTAAGATATGAAAAACTGCTTATTTACGGTGGAATAATAGTGGAAGCGCGGAGAGGGACTAGCGTGCCCTGCCCGATGAGGGTATGGTCGATACGAAGGGTCGGAGGCGAAGATCTGAGGTGTGGGGTTAAAACGAAGTAACACACATGACGTTGCAGTATAGTGCAAAAGACGAAAAGCATACGAGAGAGATCGAGCGTCTTATTTATTGTTTTACAAATTTTTTGCAGTAAGAAGACTGTTGGTCCCTTATCACCTGAATCTCCTCCTAGAGCACCATTGAGTTCTTTTTAACCAAATGTCTCTCAGAGGGGCGTGGGGAGGGGCTCCTTATTTTCATCTAAAGTAACAGACAGAGAATCAGCACTTTGGAAACAGGGCTGAAACAGAGGGGATTATGGGTAATGCTGCAATGATCTGTTTGGTGTTTCAGCCAATCAGAGACAGGCTCTGGATATATCTGAGACCTGTGATATATTGATGAACAGTATGATAGGGGACCTTTAATACTCATGAGGCAGTTTCTCTGCCAGTGCAGAGGTCATGTGATTGAGCAGCTCCTCCCTGATGCTCTCCTCTCTTTTCTGCAGCTCGTGGACGAAGTGGCCCTCGTTCTGAGACTCCACCTCCATCACAAGCTCCATCACCTGCCTGCGTATCTTCTTCAGCTCCTTCGGGGTCGTGTTTTCCTCAATCCGGAGCCTCAGAAACTCCCTAACAGCCATATAATTGAAATCTGGATTAGGCAATTCATCCCGGTGGTCTGCCTGGATGAGCACTGGGATGATGAAGCCTGCTGTCTCTGCTCCAAACGTGTTGATGGTGGTTAGGATCGCATTCATTATATCATGGTCGACCCCAGGCTTGGAGCCCGATGCTTGGACCACCAGCAGGAAGGCGTGAGGTCCCGGTCCGCACAGCTGGAGGCTCCTCAGAGCTTCTCTGGCTCTGATCTCCGGCACCAAAGAGGTCCCTAAAACATCCGGGGTCTCCACCACTACCACCTCTCTGGTGTCTATCACTGTGGATCTCCTGGTGCTCTCCATCAGAGGGCCCTTGGGTGCATGTTTCTTACTTTTGCCAAACAAAACGTCTGCAAGAGAGGTCCGTCCTCCCCATGTCGGCCCCAGAATGATCAGCCTCAGCCCCGGTTTACAGGCGCCGCTGCCGCTGGGCTCCATCTCTGACCCTGCAGAGGATTTTATAAGATGATTAATAAAGAGCTGCAGGAGGGAGTGCAAAAACCTGGAAATTAGTTAGTCTCAGATGTGGAAGAATCTTTTATTGAAATTCTTTAGGAAAACATTGTTAGTTGTTGTGAACCTAAAACACTTTTAAAACTAGAAAATGTAAACTGGGACATTTTAGATTTGTCTTGAATGCAACGTCATGGAGTTTATTTACAGTGTAACATTAGCTTTATATGGTTTATGTGGTGAGACTATTTTACTGAACAAATGTGTAAGTATCATACGTTCTGAAATAATCCAAAATCCAATGGAAAAATCCTATTGGCTTCTTCTGGGGGGAAACCAGGGAGATGCTAACTTCCAGGGAGATGCTAACTTCCAGGGAGATGCTAACTTCCAGGTTGACTTAAATCATCCCAGAAAATACGGATTTTTAGCCAAACTGGGCCAGAGTAAATTAGTTTTACGTTAAAATATCATAAATTCAACTGTAAAAAACAATAAAATGTATCAAAAAATGAAGGTGAACTCACCTAAGATGACAGCAATCAGCCACTTGAACTTGGTGGAAGACGCTGATGGAGAGGCAGATTTAATTATAGGCTTATAATGATCATGTAGCTTGAGCACTAACATACCCTCACTCCACTCAAACTGCTGTCAGCTGCTGCATTTCTGAGTCACTTCCTAAAACTAACATCCATTTCAAAACTGAACATCTGTTTATCTTTACTAAAAAAGACCATCTGAATCACTCAATGCAGAGTATCCAACACCTGTTTGAAACGTCATGCTAAGCTATTAAGCTAATGGCATGTAAAGCCACAGAGAACACTTTTTTTGAAAGTCTTATTGGCAATAAACTTGCTAAATTAAAAACATTAAAAAATACAAATAATATTAAAATAATAATAATACAAATATAAAAAAATACAAATAAATACAAATAATAATAAAAAACAGGTATATTAAAAATAATGAATACAAAATTATAAGGAATTATAATAATAAATAATAATAATAAAATAATACAAATTATAGTATCGTCTTTTGCAGGCAACTTACATCCTATGAAATGCCAAATTCGAGACAGCCATTTACACAGGCCCTGGATTCCTGTCACAAAAAAACAAAATAGCACATTCATTTTTGTATTTTGGAGCTGAAACGTTGGTATTCCTCTGGTTATAATAAACTTGATGACATACCACGAAGGGTTCCCACTAGATGGCTCACCCAGCTCCACAGAGTTGACACTCCTAAAGCAAAAAAACACACACATTCATTGATTCAAATGTCCAACCATAAACACAATAAATAACCGTACACAAACGGGACAAAGTGACCTCTGACCTCTCTGTGACTGAACTCACCCGTTAGAGAGCAGAAGATACGAATCGGCCACCTGATCAGAGCCGGCAGCGCTGCAGAGGAACAGAAAACTATCAGTGTTGAGGTCAGTGTTGATCCACTGGTGGTTTGGCTGACCATTTGAAAAGTAAACAAGCTGTTGTTTGTAGAAATGTGTGTTTTTGATCAGTAAGTGTGTGTACTGTACAGGCCGGTTAAATCATTGACACTGTCACTAAGAATGGAGGGAGATAAGCTGCTCTTATATCAGGAGTGTCTGGTCTGATGAAAACCATTTGTTAATTATTCACCAAAGTTTGATCTACTTTACATTTTAGAGTATTGACATGTCCGAGGGCACTGTTTCACTGATTCGATTATTTCCCATTATAAAACAGCAATGAAATGGCTAATGCTATATCACTCATACATATGCGGAAAATTATAATGCTATTTTGCAAATCAGCACACATTATGATTTTAAGAAAATCCCTTGTAACGGAGGTGATCTTTGGGGCCATAGATCTCGGCCTCCGTTACGAATTTTGTAGCTTTGTTGGTGGCGAAATGTATGTAGTGTGTGCATCTGTCTGTGTTTTAGTTTGTCTGTCTCTGTTTGCTGGTTTTATGTTGAAAAGTTTTCCCCTTCCCCCATGTCTGTTGCTGTTGATTGTGTGCACCTGGTGCCCTGTGTTGTCTCCTCCCCCCCACCTGTGTCTAATTGCTGATTAGTGTGTGTGTATTTAGGCTCTGTTTCCCTGTCTGTTAGGTAGCTGGTAGTGTGGGTTGAGATCCCTGTGGCTGGTGACGGTGTGCACATGTTCAGCCGGATTGAGGCTGTGAATCATTGTGTCTGATTTAATAAATGCCCACACTCGGTTATATTTGTGGACGTTCTGCCTCCTTGCTTGGTCGGGCCGCTCAATTGTCAGCTTCACATCCCCAAAGAGCCTTGGTACTTTATAGTTTCCAGAGTTGTTCATGAAACCATGTCCCGTCAGGGAAATAACATTGCTAACATAACAGGTATATGAATGTGTGTGTGTGTGTGTGTGTGACTGACTCTGAGAGAATCTGTAGAGAAGATACCCGACCACAGTGAAAGTTCCCATCTGCATGTTCCACCAGCCTAAGAGGGAAACACAACGTCAGTTATGTTGCACAAACTAAACGTTTAATTAATAATGCAAATATTAAATGCAGAATCAAGTTCTCTAAATAAAAATAACCCTTAGGTTGAATTCATAGCTTTGGGTGNTTTTAATTCGCTTTGCGACACTGAAAAACTATCCACGTGTTTCTTTATATTTAAATTTAGAGTCTGTCTCCACTTACATTTCCATTTCCCACCATTGTATGTTGTAAAGAGTTTATGTAAATTATATATAAAAGAGAACTAGACAGAATGGAAAGTAATGAAAAAAATGGATTGAGTGAATACGTCTGAAGTGTTATGTTACAAATCTATATATTATAAAAAGCCTTGATTGGATGTTTTCGAGTTCTAAAGTATGTTATGCATTTTGTAGTAATCTCACGAGTCATGGGAAAATGCCAATTTGTCACATGATGTAGACCACGTCGTAGAGGACTAAAACACTGCTAAAAATTATTCTGGCCATTTTGTGTGTTAGCAAGCAATGTAACCCTACTGTAATGTCTTTCTTTAGTTATAACCGTTTTTATAATTAGCACAAATCTGCTTGTATACAACACACTGAATTTTCAACTGACAAATATTGTTTTTCCCGCGTTTTCATAAAGAAATAACATTTAAGTAACTTGGAAGCAGCATAATACTAATTTGTGCACAACCAGCCAAACGCTTTTTGTTATATGTAAAACATTGGCTGGTGGTGCATTTCCGCCTATTGTGGGTGAAGTGAGTATTACAACAAAAACAACAACAACTAAAACTACAAATATCATTACACAAAAAAAAGAAATCAAGAGGTATTAGAAATTATTCTATGGAAAAAAATACAATTAAGGAATTCAAGTTATACTGGAAAACATATTTTTTATTGCTTCTTTCTAATTCACTAAAACAAATGAGAAAACAATTTAGATCAGACATAGAAAATAGTTTTTTTTAACATTTAAACATTTTTAATTAAACGTGGCAGTAATTGCAGACATTAGCACTGAACTGCACTGAACAAAGTTGCCTTAAAACAACATGTTTTATCTTATCAAGCCCCAACAGAAAGGTTTTAGATTTGTACAAACAGTATTTTGGTTCAACCCACATTTCCCAAAAAAACATGTAACCTGCTTTTAAAGTAAATCCTGAAATGTACCAGAATTTTTGGATTTTGAAAATAATCTGCTCATGAAGGCACCGTGAGGTTCATATTGAACTCCTCAGGGTCCGAGTTTCGCGATCAGAGCGTCCATCAGCTCCTGCTTCTTGGTGCCGGTGGTCCGAACCCCAAACTGTTTGCAGGCGTCCTTCAGCACCGGCACCGTCAGTTTTACCAGGGTGCCTTTCTGCACGTGGGCCCGCAGCTCGTCTTCAGATACCTCCACTTTGGGTTTCTTATCAGCTCCACCTCCGGCATCAGCTGCAGGTTAATCCATGGAGGAAACATTAAGATAAATCAGATTTTTAATATACAATACAGCACTAAATAAACACAGCAACAGTGACGTAAGGGCTGCACCATTCGGAAAGAATAACTAGTTGTGATTCCTTTATTTCAATAGCAATTTCAATAATTCATGATATTCACAAGGTGGATATTTTTTCAGCAGTATTCACATTATTAATAGCTGTATGAACTGTACCAACAAATATGTGTTTTGTTCAGTTGGTAGAATAGATTTTGAAGGTCATGATATCTTCTCAGCCCACAATACTTTAATTTGAACACATGTTTAGCCTTTAACAAATATCGTGTTCCTGCATTTTGAATATTGCAATGGTCCATATGACAATTTTAATAAAATCTGGTTAATTGTGCTGCCTTAATTTATGTTTTTCAACATTATTCAGTGCTGATGAAAGCCCTGAAGATATTGTATATTGCAGCAGAACAAAATAAACTTGTGATAAAAACAAGAATGTTAGTGTCTTTTTCTATGTATTGTACCCAGGTTAAGTACAGTATAGGGAGGGTGCCGTGAGACACTTTTGATTTCACTGTCCACTTAATAAATATAGAGTCTTTATACGTGTATAAAAGATACTTATATATGTATAAGTAAAAAATAGAAAGATACTGAAAGACGACGTCCAATTAATTGCGTTCTCTTAAAGCCTCTACCGTAGAACTATTTATATTTAAAACACGCATTATATACTGAATTGTGTGTTTGAATGCAGATGTCCTAAAGTGCTTTGAAAGGTTACAAAGACTGCAAAAGTGCTATATAAATGCACAACGTTTCTGTAGTGTCTCCGGCTCTGACCTGTCTTGCGTTTGGCTCCTGGTTTGTTCTCAGGGTTGTATCCGTTTGGGTAAACCAGATCCTTGAATTCCTCAACCAGAGGACCCAGACGCTGGTCGATCTGCTCCACCTTCGGCACTGAGGAAGGGGAGAATAAAGTGTGAGACGGAGGAACAGGAAGTTGTGGCAGCTATGAGAGGATTTCTTAATATCTGAATCTGAGTCTCACTGATGAGGTCCTCTGTGTTCTCCGGAGCGTCCATATCCAGAGCGAGAGCCTCCAGGTTCCTGTAGTGCTGCTGGATGACCGGGTTCTCAAACGCATCGCTCCTGCAACACATTACAAACAAATAACACTAATTATTACATATTATTTTTAAAAACACGTCGGGCTCCTGATCTTTTCCCCATAAAGACCTTCTCGCTGCATCCCTTACTTCTTACATGGCTTAGTTGAATACTCGATTCTGATTGGTCAATTGGTTTTCTTGTCTTTAGTGTTCCGTTGTCTACCGTGTGAGAGCAACATGGAGGATTTTAATATTAATTTTAAATATATTTGGAGAGCACAGTAATTTGCATGAATGGTTAGTGGCTGATGACAAGAGGGACAAGAAAACAGCAGAGAAGTAACGGGGCAGAAACCCTCAACACGGAGCTTCGGTCCTTTTTACGCAACGGTCCAGCCATAGACATCAAACGGCAAAACCTATTCAGTGTGCAGTTCCTTTGGCATTAGGGCCGGGGTATCTAGACACTTTCCAAGGTTTGACATAATGAATTACTACTAGTGCTGCCGGATGACCGGGTTCTCAAACGCATCGCTCCTGCATCACATTACAAACAAATAACACTAAATGAATGACGTCCTAATGAGCAGAGATGTCTATCCATAAGCCCCGCCCCCAAATAATTGTCTTTGTTTGTCCACCCCCTCTTACACTGTAAAGCATCTTTCAGTTCGTAAAAAGAGCTATATATAAATATAAGCTATTATTATTATTATTATTATTATTGTAAAGCACACCAAGGAAGGGAAACCAGTGCTCTGTGGGTTTGATTGTGAAAGTGTAAATTTCATTGCAAGGTTAAATACTTTCCTTCTCGCTGTCTTTTAATAAATCAAGTAATTAATCATAGAAAACACCAAAATGTAACTTTTCTTCTTGTATTTTATTCCTGTTTTAGCTTGTTTTTATTTGTAGTATTTGAATGCCTTATGTCTAGATGCTTTTAATGTTATTGTAAAGCACATTCAAATGGCCTTGTGTTAAATTATTATAATAAATAAATATATCTTGTCTCTGAAATCAACCAGCAATCGTTATAAATAATCGTCATTGGCATTTTTGCCGTAATCGAGCAGCCCTAGGGCATTATATAAATAAATAAATATACTTTTTGTTTAGTTAATGCGGCAAAAAAAGACTTTTTATTCAGGAACACTTCATCTAAAGTAATAGCACCATCGTATATTTTATTCCGAATAATTTTTAAGTATTTAAAAACTAACTTTTCCCCTGTATGTGTGCTTGTTTTATTTGTATTTAATTAACTGTGTGCATGCCTCTTTATTCAAAACACAACTGATTTCATTACTGTAACAATGCAAATTTGTAACCACATACTTTTCTCAGGATTTCATGCTTAATAGCTTCCTTAGTTTATTTCTTCATTCATTTAAAGTGCTCTATAAACTCAGAACTCTGTAAAGTACTGAAGCTGTGCAGCGACCTGTATTTGAAGCGCAGTTTGGTGACGATCTCCTTCATCTTGTCCACCTGTGTTTTTGAGGCCCACGGACAGCGGGGGGTATCGAGGGTCCGCAGGTCGTCAGCGTACGGCAGATAGATCATGTTGAAACCTGGAACAGAGACATGATTACAAATAAAACTGTGTTTGCATACATTTCCTATCACTGTTGATAACCAAGGAAAACCTTCCTGCCCAAAACCTCTCTGTAACAAATCACCTCTGGCTGGAAGAGAACTCTCAATCCATAGCTTCTGTCTCTTCTACATCAACATGTGTCCCCTCTTCTTCATGTCTCTTCTACATCAACATGTGTCCCCTCTTCTTCATGTCTCTTCTACATCAACATGTGTCCCCTCTTCTTCATGTCTCTTCTACATCAAACATGTGTCCCCTCTTCTTCATGTCTCTTCTACATCAACATGTGTCCCCTCTTCTCCATGTCTCTTCTACATCAACATGTGTCCCCTCTTCTTCATGTCTCTTCTACATCAACATGTGTCCCCTCTTCTTCATGTCTCTTCTACATCAACATGTGTCCCCTCTTCTTCATG